CCTTTGTCTGGGGGGGGGGGCGGGGAGAAGGGCAGGAGGGGTCTCCAGCCCAAACAAGGCCCTTTCAGGCCTCTCCCCTTCCCGTACTGTGGTCACAGCAGTGGGATGTGCCAGCCGTGGACCGTGGTAAATGGCAGGGCATGCTCTGGACGGTTTCATCCCTGGCACGGGGGGGAGGGGGGGAAGGAAGCGTGCACAAGGTTGCTTTCCCTTGAGCCTCCCGCTCTCGCCTGGACCGTTGGGGTCCTGTGGGGCGGTGTCCGGCTCCCAGGCCAGGGAAGGGGAGGCATGAAGACTCCCCGTCCCCAGGCTCAGGGGGGTGGGCCTTTGGGCTGCCAGAAAAATGTCGATCCCCGTGGGGCAGCCAGAGGGGCTGAGCCATAAGTCCCGATGGGCAAAAAGCGATACTGACTCTCCAGCTGCGTGCAGCAAAGCCCTGGGACAGGAGTCATCCGGGGAAATGTGCAGCCTTTCCTCTTATAACTCCACAGCAAAAAAGGAAAAGGCGGCAACAAACCCAGAGAAAACACAGGAGCGGAACGAAGGGAGGGAGAGTATTATGTGGAGGCGCCTGAAAACAGGACTGCTTTTAGGAAGCCAAAACACCTTTGGGGGAAGCAGGCAGGAGGAATGCGCTTGGGCTGACACGGACGCTCTCCCCCTTTGCACACACACACACACCCGGCCCACTCTGCCCTTTCAGAGCCCCCACCCCACAATCTCACCATGCCTGCATCTCCACCTGGGACTCCCCCTCCCCTCGCAAGCCACGCCTCCCCCCTTCAGGCAGGGCCTGCCATTGGCTCTTTTGTTCTCCTACCTGGCAGGCGTCCCGGCCCCCTGACTCGAATCCGGCGCACACCATGTTCCTGGTCAGGGAAGGCAGCCACTTCTTGCACAGCAGCCAGCTGACTATTCCCACCTGGGCCTTCAGCAGGGTGTAGGAGGCCTTGCTGGTCCCTGGAAGAGAAGGGGGGGGGGCTTGCCTCAGCCAGCTGACGTAGAGCCGGGGGCCTGGGTGCTCTCCCCGCTCCCGGGGGTGATGTCAGCAGCCTCTCCAGCAGACCTCCCGCTGTACACCCTTCTTGTTGGCAAAGTGAACAGGACCCCACCCCACCCCCGGGCGGAGCCCTGCACCCAACAGCAGATCTCCCGGCTGGGAAGCCAAACGCCAAGTGTTGAGAATCAAAGCAGGCTGTGAAGAGCAACAGGAGGACCTCTTTAAATTGGGTGAGGGAGGAGGAGGTGGCAAATGAAGCTCCCAGTGGGTAAGTGTAACAGGATGCACACCAGAACAAACCCCCTCCCCCAGCTTTAGAAGAAGAGGAGGAGGAGAGATTGGATTTATTCCCCCGCCCTTCACTACCCAAGGGAGTCTCAGAGCGGCTCACAAACTCCTTTCCCTCCCCCTCCCCACAACAGACAGGCACCCTGTGGGGTAGGCGGGGCTGAGAGGGCTCTGACAGAAACCGCTATTTTCCAAGAACAGCTCTGACAGAACTATGGCTTGCCCAAGGTCATCCAGCCAAGTGCAAGTGGAGGAGGAGTGGGGAATCCAACCCGGTTCTCCCAGATTAGAGTCCGCGCACTTAACCACTACACCAAACTGGCTCTTTAAGTATAGGCTGATGGAGGTCACTAACTGGCAGAGACTGTGGCTGAAAGAGACCCTGGGGTTTGCCGTGGAAAGCTCCTGGAGGCTATGGAAGTGGTCAAAGGCAAACTTCACGCTGGGGATTATTAGGAAAGGGAATGAAACTGAAACAGCTGCTATTGGAGAGCTCTGAGCAATGCTACGATGTGGCCTAGTTTGGAGTACCTAGTTTGGAGTTCTAGTTGCCTGGTCTCAAAAAGGATATTTTGGGCCTAGAAAAAAGTCCAGAAGAAGGCAAACAAGATGACGGAGGGGTTGAAGCACCTTTCCTGGGACAGTTAAGGGTGGAGGGGGGGCAGAGGTTGGCAAATCACACAGGGGGGTGGTGGAGAAAAGGGACAGAAGCCTTTTCTGCCTCTCTCGTAATACTAGAACTTGGGAGCACCTAATGAAGCTGTTGGGAAACGGGTTCAGAACAGAGAAAACAGATATGCTGTCGAAGGCTTTCACGGCCGGAGTTCATTAGTTGTTGTAGATTTTCCGGGCTGTGTGGCCGTGGTCTTGGCATTGCAGGACCTGACGTTTCGCCAGCAGCTGTGACTGGCATCCTCAGAGGTATAACACGGAAAGATGGAGGACTCTCTGTGTCAAGGTGAGAAGAAAATGGTAGGCAGGTAATTTATATCAACTCCAGAAGATAATGACTCAGCCCTACCCCATCTTCTGGAGTAGATATAAAGGACCTGCCTACCATTTTCTTCTCACCTTGACACAGAGAGTATTCCATCTTTCTGTGTTATACTTCTGAGGATGACAGTCACAGCTGCTGGCCAAACGTCAGGTCCTACAAGGCCAAGACCACGGCCAACCTACAGCAACTAAAGAGAAAACAGAGTACTTCTTTACTCAGGGAGTGACTGAATGGTGGGGTTCCCCCGTGCTGGTGGGAAAGGGGCCTCGGCAGATTAATGGAGGAGAGGTCCATCAGGGGCGACTAGCCCTGGTGACCACGGGGGCTACTCCACAGGGGGAGGCACCAAACCAGTGCTGGGAGGCAGCCTCAGAGGAAGACCTCGCGACATGTGGGCCCTTTCGGTCAGGTGGCCAACTCCAGGGTAGGAAGTTCATGGAGCTTTCGGCATAATTCCCAGGGAAGGCAGAGTTGGGGGGGGGGGGAGGTACGGTGGAGACCTGACGCCATGGCATCCGTCCTCCAGAGTTGCCACCACCTCCAGGGGGAAAAGTTTGAAGACTGCTTGTAATTCTGGAGCCACAGGCGCCACCTGGAGCTTGACAACCCCACCTCCAGGGCCACTGGTTGCCCCCCCCTCACTGCACCCACCCAGCAGGCTGCACTTTGGTTCCCCTGAGGCCCCCCCCCCCGAGCAAGGATTCCAAACCACCCCCCAGCTCTGGAGTCCCAGACCCCCAACGGAGCCGGGAAGCCAAGGGGAAAGGAGGGCCTGTTCTGGAGGAGCCGGGCCCGGGGCCGCCCAGCAGCTTCTGAGCCCCCACTTCACCCCCCAAAGCGGCAGCGGTGCAGTCCGGGGGGGGGGGGGGCGCCCACCGGCTTTGGTGAGCCCCCAGCCGGCCACGAAGCAGCTCTCCCACATGTCGTCGTCCGGGACGATGGTGCTGTCCGGCAGGCAGAGGGGGCTGTGGTAGGGGCTGTAGGGGATGGGGTCCTGCAGGAGGAGGAGGGCCAGGTCGTTGTCGTAGGTCTTCGCGTGGTACAGCGGGTGGGAGAAGATCCTTCGCACCCAGCGGGTGACGTTGTTCCGGCCCAGGAAGTTGCTGCCGGCCGCCACCTTGATGCTGCGGCTCCTACGCAAAGGAGACGCTTCTGTCAACCGAGGCTGCGTCGGGGCTTCGCTCTCCCAGCGCGCGGGGGGGGGGCTTTT